ACAATTTGATTATAGGATGGCAATAGCAATGACTCATCTTGGCATTTTTTCAAGAAAGCAGTTTTGCGGGAATCGTGGATGTTTACGGATAGGATTCCGAGTGACCTGGAGAAGAAGCCATGCACCTGCTGACGGGACTGCCCCAGGGCCACCCCCTTTAGGGGAACACACCGCAACCAAGCCCCAGAAGGCAGCGCTCCAGCCCAGTGCTAAGAGCAGGGAACTGCAGACCAGCGCTTTCTATTTCTCATTCTTCCTAGTTCTCACATTGATTTTATGCAGAGCATGTTTTAAGCCACTTTCTGTACTTCATTTTCCTTCAGCTCTTACTAGAGGAGTCCTACCTGTCTCCCTCACAAGAAGGGATGCGATTCCTGCATAGTGCTTCAGAACTCCTCAACGGGGAAGCGTGGTATGACTAAGATAAACTATTTATGCTGCCAACAGTTTTATTTGAAGTTTATGGCTAAGGCTATTCTATAATACTTACAAAATCTGGGCTGCACATAAAGCAAGCATGGATAGAATAAACCTTCTATTACCAACATAAGCAAACATTTTTGTCTAATATAAAGAATCATGTCTTTCAGGATAGTAAGATTAATTTTGCTTTAAGATTTTTATTTATAAGATTTAACTATTTTCTCTTTGGAGTTTATTTTTCACTTGATGGTATCTTTTAAAATTTATCAAGCAAATGTGTTTAATCAAATGACAGCAGAATTTTCCACTGGGTATTTATAGTTGACCCAGAAAGTGGTAAGAAAACAAAAATGCACATAGATATGAAGTCATCTAAGAGGAAAAACAAACTAATAAACTTGATAGAAAACAGGAGGAAAGAAGAGGGTGAATACAAGAAGGGAATAGTATTTTGAGACCAACAGGTCAGTCTTTAGTAGTGGCACCTTGTATGATTTGCATGGTGGCAAAGTCAGTGTTGGGGTGTTAAAGAGGAATCGACTACCGTAGTCAGAAAGCAAAGAGATGATACGCGTGCAGACAACTGTGCTTGCAGTGCAAGGGAAACAGGTCAGCTACTAAAAGCATCAGCAGTAAAATTTGGAAGTAATGGGGCTTCAGAGGGTCACAGAAGTAATTGTATTTAAGAAGGGCATGCAGCATTGATCAAGCCATCAGCAAATCCTATCAGGTACACAGCAAATCAGGCAACGTTTTCTGTGCCTGCTCTAGCCGAGTTAGCCACAAGCACCTTTGGTTGGAACTTCACCACGTGCTATAAGCTAGTCCAATATACAGATCTTCCAGTCGTATTCTGTCCTTGCAGGCTCTAGTGCCTGCAAGTACAGGTGCTCAACTACCTTTATTAGAGCACTTTATTCAAAAAAAAAAAAAAAAACCACACAACTTTCATTAGTAGTAATGATTTGCTCTAAACAAATATAAGTGAACAATATAAAATCTCAAAGCTCTTCATGAAATTGCACGAGCATTATTGTCTGCATCGCACCACTGGCCTAAATACAGAGATTCAAGCAATTCATGAGAACTGTAGAGTCAAGAAAAGAGATTACAAGTGCAGAAAAAAGTCAGAGTTCTGTTAACAGCTTTGCTAAAAATATTCACTAACCCAGTTATCCCAATTCAGATAATGGTTTCATGCACATTCTTCACTAAGTGAAAGAATAATTTAGCAGTTAGAGTGTTACTTGCGTTTAAGAGAGACAACTTCTCCACAGATTCCCAGTGTGACTTTTAAGAGTCAACTTGAAGCCCCTAAAATGAGGATAACAGGTCTTCCTTACCTCATTGGCTGCTGCAAGGTCAATTAAATAGAAGAGACTGTCACAGCAACTATTGCAACTAAATATAAATATCTAAGATAAATGCAGGAATGTTCTGTTCAGAAATACAGCCCAAGTTACTTATCAAAAGGCCCAAAGGCTTACAATAAGAAAATGTGTTTTCCAGCATCACATCTTTCTCATGCAGCAGAAATGTTTAAGAACAGCTTCAAAAGATCCTGTTTTTCCAAGAATCTTTCTGCTCTCTGACCCAGGGATGGTCTCTTACACGAACCAAGAGCATCTTATATCCATCTTTATAATGAGGTAGCAGAGTATGACTTCATTTAGCAGAGAGAAAAGCACTGAAAAAACAAGTCACTTTCTGCAAAGACATCTAAGAGGATTACTATTAAATATTTAAGGTTTTATCTCTGAACACTTATTTCTCAAAGGGAAAAAAATCCAACATTCTTGTTTTCAATTAGGGTCTACGCATTTTTGGAGGTTGTTATGGGACCCATTATCGACATTACGAGGGGAATTTGGTAACAGTCACGTGCATTCCCAGAACATCCCAGAGAGAGTCAAGATCCAAAGCTGCCTGTACTAAATGATGCACTATTTTAGATGAAACCACTTGGTTGCATTACAAGAAGCCTTTTGAGAAAGGTGGAAGAGGCCTTAAACATTTAGAAGTGATCTCTTTCCACTAGATGAATAAAAGTGGGAAGCCATCAGAATAATGCCATAATGCCTTTGACTCTCCCTCTTCAGAGCACTGAAGGAACCCATTTTGGATACTCCGAGATAAGAGTTTTGTTTGTTTGCTTAAATAGGCAGTATTTTCACACTCCCACACTCCTAAACCCAGTAAGTTTGAATAAAGGCATTTTCCCAGTTCACAAAGCCTTCCCATGGAAAAGCACCTTTATCCAATTTGTACTTTCCAGTGGAACTGGGGGAGGAAAAACAAAACCAAACCAAACCCACACACATTAGCAACACTGCAGTCAAGTCATAAGCGTCAAGCAATTACTAAGCAACCCCAATTCACTTTTCTGTTTCTATACACGCAAAGTCAGCTGCTGCACAGTTCACCCCATACTGCACATCCAAGCTATTGTCTCAAGTGACTTGCACTCAGCATCCTTTCATTTTTCTGCCCACTGCCAAAGAACGCACTCAGAAGTCTACTGCTTCACCCTGCAGCATCCTGGTTCTCAACAACAGAGAGAATTCAGAGCAGATCCTGAACCAAGACTCATTTCCACGCTCTTTTTTCAATCTGAGTGACCCGGTTAATATGTTTTAGAATTAGTGCTACCTTGGCATGACATCCGAGTTTTAAAAGGCTGCAGCAACATAGAAGTAAATGAAAGAGGGAAAGCAAAGGGTCTGAAAGTATTGGGAAGATCATTGCATTTGGTTGTGCTTGGCTACATTAAGACACACCATTTCAAGTTCAGAGAGATCTAACAAATATGGACACAAAGCGTCCTGTGCACAAGACTGTTTTCTTTGTTAAAATAAATACTCTTGCATAGAAAAAACTTTTGATGAAAACATTAATGTCAGCTTCCAAATGCACTTTTGCATTCAACTAAAGCAGCCAGAACTTAACAAGATAAAAAAAAGTATCGGTACCCAGAACGTTCCAAGCCACAGAAATCTAATAGATGGCATTTGGATTACGTATACCTCTTTCCAGAGAACAGAGAGCTCAATCTGCTTGTTCTGTGTTATTACTTCCTCCTCAACATACATCTAAAATTCACCGTTTCCCTACCATGTACAGTATTACCAATGAAACCAGACAGCTCAGTTTATGCACAGTCAAGTTTTCAAACAAGAGAACTGACAAATACTTACTGATGACCTAAGATATTTAACTTTCATTTAACACTGTCCTCAGCAGAGGGAAAAATCCCTACCTTCAGATAATATAGTAGCATAATCTGCAAGCGCAGGATTCTCAGGACACCTTGCTGCAAGCGCAGGATTCTCAGGACACCTTGCTGCTCTAGCTGGGCGACTGTTTTATGTTTTACAGAGCTGGAAAGATATGCTGAAAGAATATTCTTTCCAAAGGGGAAACAGCAAAGGAACCTTCAGAAAAATAAATGGACAGAAACCCCCCGTTCAACACACCACCCATTCAAAAGTATCCATGCTGAAATATAACAAGAATGTGCTATGCAGTGTTTTTCAAGATAACGATTTTGTTTTGGACCTTAATTGAAAGTAAAGAATCTCTGTCTTCAGACCATCTTAAAAACTGGTTCAACACCAACAGACTACCATGAGCAGAATCAGCGCAGCTCTTCCCACAATACCTGCTGTATAACTTTGGAAAAGTCCCACCACAGCACTACCACTGATCGAGCTCAAGGGCAAACAAGAGGGAATTATGTAGATCCGTTGTCCTCGGCACAGAAACAGATACACAGTGTTTTAAAGCTTTGTGTGCACCCAATCCTCAGGCAAACTCTCAGCATCACTGCAGAGGTGCTAAATTTCTCAAGAAAGCTGTCTCCTCATCACGTACAAATCCTGTCTAGATTATGGAATTGGATAGATACAAAGTCTGATAACGGAGAAGCAAATATGCTTAGATTTTGGAGAAACTTGAAGATTTTTTTTGCAAGTCCTTATCAAGACCGATTTTCTCCACTGATGTATGTTACGGAAAAGTAACTAATATTGTACATTGTATTTGCTTCAATACTTTATGGATGTATATTGTATTTCTTGATGATTAGATTCAAAACTGCTTTGCTCTTTAGCCAACACACTATAGGAAAGGATGACTGATTGAACAGTCCTTTCATTCTGGTCTCTCCTATGATTTCAATCTTCTACATACGCTCCTGAAAATAAGCATGAAGCACAGCACTAACCAATTGTTCTTTTTAGAAACCAAACACATGAGCAATTCCCTAGATGGCTACCACAACGGTCCTCAAGTTAATGACATAGTTTGCTCTGCAAGGTATAGAAAAGCCATCCTAACTCTGTGGAATGATCTTGTATTTGTTCTTTCCCAATTAAACAGCAGTGCACTATAAATTATGTTTTCTGTTCTTCCTGAGCTACCTACTGGCTTAAACTACTGAGAGAAACCACCAGAAAAAGCAAGTGCCAGACCCGTCAGTCTTGTGCTGCTGCTTCTCTGCAAACAGTCCTACCTGAAAGCACCTGAAATCCCACCAGTGTCACAGGGGAATGAACACACAGCATCAAGGTATGTCTTACCCACAAAACAGGAAAGCCCAGCAGGTAAAAAAGGTTTCCAGATTTTGTCAGAGCATGGTAATCTTCCCATGTCATAAGATTTTCCTAACGCTTTGGAAAGATAAGACTCCCACACAGGTATTCGCCAGCTTGTGAGGTCCTTGGAGGTAGGTCATCAGTTCCATGTAGATGACGTGCTCATCTATCTCACAACAGTCCTTCAAAAAAGCTTTTAATAAAAAACACACTTAATCTTCATTAGAACAGAAAAATTAAGCAGAGCTGGAAAACAGATCAAAGATGTTTGGTGACAAAGCAAGCACTAAGTTCCCAGATTAAGTCTTCTACTAAGAAAATGACATGCAACATATAAACTGAATTCTTATATCAAGACTACTTATGCTATGTAAAAAGGGAACAAAAAATGTTTTTTCCAATTGTAAAATAAATTCAGCTTTGCTAGTAGAAGTCATATCTCACTTCACATCCTACCTCAAACTTGCATGAGGGAGAAAGCTGTTTTACAAAAAGGTGTCTCTAGACTACATCATGAAGAAACCCTCCACGTACAGAAGTATTGTGTTTTGAGATAGATGCATAGCTTTCATAGAAATGTAGCGTACCACACCCCATGCTAAAAACATGCAGCTTACCATTATTAAAGCACAGGGTGGATTTTTATACTTTAAAATTATTATTAAGTAGTCATTCATCTACAGTTTTAAGTTTTTTGGTAGGTCTTTCTTATAGCAGCTCAAGATCTCTGAGCATGAGTGACAACTGCTTTTCAGCCTACAGAGACCCCTGTACAGGAGCAAGTTAAGGATGTGACTTCTTTACAACAGTAAAAACTGTTGACTTTACTGGGATAGATCAAATACAATACGTTCATACTCCAGAGATGGAAACAAATGAGAGTTCCTCCAGAAGACAACGCTCCAAACAGTACCTATACTGTTTGCCAGAAAGGCTAGACAACAAAAACAAGCAAACAAAGAAACCCAACACTGCTCAGATTCTACCCCACCCCCTGCAAAGATAGACTATCAATTTTTGCTTCATTCTACTCCATGGAATATGACATTGCAAAATAGCAGTGACTATCTAACAGCAGAGTATCAAAGGACATTTTTTAAAGCACAATAAGCTAGTTACGTATAATGTTTCAGGAATGAAACAGTCGGATTTTTTGCTGTGCGAGTAAAACAAGTCCCTGTAAGGACCCTTACATTTACCCCGTAGCTGTCTGCCGGTTTTCCTACACGCATCTTTGCGGAGAGAGCTGGCAGAGTTATTAATAAAGCCTACCAACGCAGTCAGCGAGGGCGCGTGTTGCTAGAAACATTCTTCTCTGCTCTGCCTGCCTGTTACTGAGCACACAGCAGAGAACTGCAGTGCTCAGCAAGCTCAGTGTTCAGACGTTCAGGCAAAGCTCCGCTTTAAATGTGCCCTCACGCTGCAGTTCAAAAAGCAACTGACAACCAGAATGAAAAATCCTTTTATCCTCTTCCTGATAATATTAACATTAGGTTTCTGAGCTGACTGGAAAGATTAGTTTTAGAGGCTCTTCTTCTAAACAGGAAACATTTGCCTCTGAAGAATCAGTCTTCAGATAAACCTTTTACCAAATTACACTGGAAGCGGTCACTCTGGACCTGCCAGAGAAAGAAGGTGAAAAACTGTCTCATTTAGAATTAAATTCCTCTATTTTTTTTAATATTGGGAAAGGATAGAAGCATTGTCTCCCCTTCCCCCCATTACTTTAAGTAGAGAAAAAAAAAAGAAATTCTGTCCTCACGGACAGAATCCCACAAAGCAGGGAGCCTCTCCATCCTTTGCAGCTGCTCAGGAATAAAAGTACTTGGAGGAACTGGGAACAGGAAACCATAAGCAACTGAGGTGGTTTTCTGGCTTACTAGAGCCAACAACTCTGCACTCTCTGACAAGACTGTAAGCAGCAAGCTAGTAAGAGAAATATATTTCTAGGTATGTCAGCCAAAACAATCAATTAGAGAGTCACCTTGAGGTTGCAGAAAAGCAAACAAATACAAAAATAACACTATCAGTAGACTGCAGTTTCATGTAGCTCACTGCAAGAAAAAAAAATTGTATTTATCATTTCTGCCTTTTATTGCCACATTTGAAGATGAGATAGATCATAAAAGGCTTTTATACTTAAAGCTTTGAAGTAGAATCAAAATACATCGGGTTTTATTTGTTTATCTTCTTAACCACAGGAAAAAACTAACGTAAGACATTTTAATCTTACTGCCTAACGGACAGCTTGTCCACACTTCAGTGCACCACACATGCAACGCCCTAACCACACGGGAGATTCATGGAAGAAGCTAGAATCCAAGACTGTGTGTCAAATCTCAACCCCAATGCATTTAACTGGAGTTAGGATATTGCCTTAGGACTCTTCTCACAAAGACCTCTAAAACACACAAGAGACACAGCTTTACTCATGATATAAAAGCTATCTTGGAGAAACTCAATCCCAAGTTGATAAGCTTTCATTGCTGTTTACTTTCAAGAAACGGTAAAATCATTAAGTCTTGACCTTTAGCTTTTTTGTTGGAAAACGTGCTCCAGGCCTAGAAAAGTATAATAGGAGATGATGGTAGGAGGTCCAGAAAAAGCATTTTCCCCACAGTCATTTGTTGGGAAGTAGTTTTATTTACATTTATTTTTCCTGACATCTCAGAAAAGTAGACATTTTCTTTAAACTACTCAGATTTACATTTTTTATTTTGTGATGACAAATTCCTCCGTGTTTTTTCAACTTTTAACAGAAATTGTTAATTTAAATAGGATTTTTAACTTCTTCCTTTCCAATATTTTATGGAAGGAAGCTGCATTGCAGTCTTCTTCCAAATGCTTTAATAAAACACTGGCGCTCATTTCTGGTTTGTTTTTGTTTAACGTAACATTAAGAACTTTTTGAGATTAAAATGCTGGTTTTCTAGATGGGAGTTTGCTCTGATAGTATCTTCCATTAGAACCAGGGTTCTTTCCCCCAGCTAAACATTATGTGCTGGATTTAAGCAGTAACTCTGAATGAGTAAATAATACTTACAGTACTGCAGTAAATCAGTAGAAAGCAGTATCAAGCACAGATCTGTATATGACTGTAGATCAAGTTGCACCAAATCTCCATGACCCAGTACCATGAATAGAGATGACAACGAATATGTAAAGATTTTTATTTTCATTTATATTTACAACACTGCAAGTAGCTACAAATATTCCCACGGAACCCCAGGGGGATGGTTTCTCTTAGAAAAAGCAAGCTGTATTTGAGGACATTTTCCACTAATTAACACGACCAAGATGTACACCTGAGCAAGAACCTGTACTTTGCCCCATGAATAGAAGGGAAAAGCATACCCTAAGCTTAAGATCAGATTTTCATGACTAATAATGTCCCTGAAAAATGATCCTGCCAAACTGAAAACATATATATAAGGATAAAAATGCATTATTTAAAATACATGTATTTTTCCCTCTCTCACCAGTCTTTAAACTCCCATGGTAGAAATTAAAAATTGTTATTTTCTCTTTTAATCTTTATCCTAAGGGAATTATCTGCAAGATATTAACACCTTTTTTGATGCATCATAGTTACTGTTTTCCCAGACAGACACTTAATAAACAACGATGCATTCTAAGCCACCCGCACATTCACTGAAGGGGAAAGAAGTATTCTGAACTCTGCTTCTCTGAGAAATGATATTGTTAAAAGGATATTCAACTGATGTATTTTAACCTACTTTTCATATGTCTGAGGGTTTACTTATTTAAGGGAGGAGGAAGATCTACTGACATTTGTTTTTTAAGTATCCAAATGACTGTGGTACAGTTACTCCTCCTTCGTTCCAAATATCTGCAGACCAAAGTGACAGCCCTGTATTGTTGATTGAGATTATCATCTCTAACACATTGGTGTAGGTGTTAAAAACTATAACCTTCAAATAACAGAAAAGTGTTTCCTATAGAGCCAAATTAGTTAAGCACAAATAAAGAGAAATGAGTCATTCACTTATGTCCAAAATTGACTCAATTTTTCCTCACTCATCCATAATTATTTAGCAGCTTTCATGGAAAAAAAAAAAGTTTCTGCTAACTCATGGTTTAAATAAGAACATTAATTGAGCATGTAAGTAATAATATATGCTTAGTATTAGTAATTTTAAGGGCTCTTTATCATAGTGAAGTATTGGACATCTTGATAGCTTAACCAAAGTAGACCAATATATAAAACAAAACAGCAAAGACACTACTGGTTAGACAGTAAGCTGAAAACTAACCGAACTTAAAGTGTCCAGTATTGTACATCCACACCCACCAAGACCATCGCTAGCAGACTTGTGAACTGAACCCCTGCCGAGAAGCCAGTTTTGGAAAGCTCCAACTCCAAGAACAGCAGGGGCACTTCAGCGTGCAGTCTTGACAAGCATGCTGCGCCATGTCAACCAGTCAGCAAAGGAGCCGCATCCCAAATCACAAAGTGATCGGCATGACTTATTTTAAAGTTTTTACTCTTACGAGCAGTCCGTCCCTTATAAAGGGGCAAGAAAAAACAAAATTTGTCCTACTGGAGAGCACGTTGTCTCTGGAAGCGTGGCAACGGGTTGATGTTTAAAATTTTTTTATATATATATATATATATATCTATATATATAGTGAAAAGAAAAAAC